AGAACTAATCCAATAATTCCAAGGCTCCTGAGAAATGACAATGTGGTATCACTGGCAATAAATAAGTCACTTGGGAATGAGAGTCCTTAGGGAGATGGCCATTTCTAAGGCACTCCCCATAAGAAGTACATTTCCTTATTTATAGGGCCCTGTATTCTATAACTTAGTATCTCTCTTTCCCGGCTGCAATTCAACTTTATAAAATAAAGCCAGTGTGGTATAATGGAAACAACACAGGCTTTGGAGCCAGACCATCCTGGCTTTTATTCTGTCTCTACATACCAGAGGTTTTTTTTGAGGAAATTACTTATTTTTCCCAAGCCTCAGGGATAAAGATTTGAAACTTTTAGATTTGTACCAGGATTCAGTGAAATATGCAAAATCCTTCACATATGATAGGTGCTTTGTAAATGTTGTTTCTTCTTCTCTAAGCATGTTTTAAACGTATGGTACAACCAGAACAAAGAAATCCATCCACCTGTGGTTGCTTTAGTTATAGCAAAGTCTTTACTGGGATTTATAGTTGTTACTTTTTAGTGTTTATTAAGATTTCCTCTGAAAACACCATCATTTTGAAAATCATAATGATGCTATTTGCTTTATATTTATGAAAAGTACTTCCGTCATCACTTTGAATTTTATCCCTTAAATCTTTTCAAAGAACTTTTAGGCTGGCTTTATTATTTTTTAAATTGTATTAAATTCTAATTCTTAAATAGATAATATAAGTACTTGGTTCACCAAAAGGAGTGTAGTAAAAACTGAGTCAGTTACCAGCCTCACATACACCCTTATAGTTGTTCTGTGGATGCAAGTCTGCATGAGTGAGTGTATCTCTCTCTTTGTTAAATTCAAATGATATCATACTGTACACATAGTTTTGCATTTTACTTTTTCACTTAACCACGTATCTCGGAGACTCATTCTCTTTTTATTTATTTATTTAAAAAAAATTTTTTTTTAACGTTTATTTATTTTTGAGACAGAGAGAGACAGAGCATGAACGGGGGAGGGTCAGAGAGAGGGAGACACAGAATCCGAAACAGGTTCCAGGCTCTGAGCTGTCAGCACAGAGCCCGATGCGGGGCTCGAACCCACGGACCGCTAGATCATGACCTGAGCCAAAGTTGGCCACCCAACCGACTGAGCCACCCAGGCTCCCCTCATTCTCTTTTTAATCACTAAACAGTATTCCTTCATAAAGATGTATCACAATCTATTTAACTTGACCAACTTCTTTACTTTAAGCAATACTACTAATAATACTTCACAGTTGTTTTGTGGGTCTAATAGAAGTATTCCTATGAAAACTTTTTATTTTTCTCAATAAAATGAATTTTCTTCTCTCATTAAATAAAAACAAAATTTTGTCCTGTAATTAAATTTAAATTTCCTTCTGTTTCTTGGGGCACCTGAGTAGCTCAATTGGTTGAGTGTCCAACTCTTGACTTCAGCTCGGGTCATGATCTTGACTTCATGATCTTGACTTCAGCTAGGGTCATGGGATTGAGCCCAGTGTTGGATTCCATGCCGAGCATGGAGCCTGCTTAACATTCATTCTCTCTCTCTCTCTCTCTCTCTTTCTTTCTCTCTCCCCCCTTTCCCCTCTGCCCCTCCCCCCACTCATGCATGCTCTCTCTCAAATTAAAAAAAAAAATTAATAAATAAATTTCCTTCTGTTTCTTTATCATTTTATTTTTCTCTTTGAAACAATAGAACCAAACTTAATCACTAGCCAGTTTTAGTATCTTTATTTGTATCTCTCTACCATATGGAAAGCAGTTGGACAAGGTTACTATAATTCCTTGCCTGAAATCTTATTTCTTGTTCACTTTAAGAGATAAAAATAGATACTTTAAAATATGAATTCCATTTGTGGTCCACTTTATATCTTAAAAAGTTATCCTTTGAAGGTTTTCCTGCCCATGTTGTTAGGGTTTTACAGTGAGCAATTGATTTGGACTCCTCCACCATAAAAGATTTCTTTGGCAACATGATTTAAATAGTCTATGAAGGGAGCTTTTGTTTGGTAATGAGTAGATGCCAGGGGCCTGACCCCTAGATGGGTTATAGCATTCCTTGGCTTGACCTTGGATGATAATACATCATGAAGCAATGAATTGAGGTTTTTGAGTAGAATGGGGTTTGCTTTATTGAATAGTAACTATATCATAGTGAAGGAAAAAAATTCATATATTGCTAAAAATTAATCTATAAATTGCTTCCACTTCTAACCAGTCATCCTACAGGCTAACAAAAATTTGATTTAGAAGAATTTTCACTGGAACCAAACTGTAATGTACATCATTGAAACATATCCATAGCCTCAGTAAAGACTCATTTGATTAGTGAGGAAGATTTATTTTCATGCCATGAAGAGAAACATCTTCAGAAAGTAAGCAGTCCTCCAACTCCATGTCTCATATCATAGCTTTCATTTAGAAGGAGGAACTAGTCAGGGCACCTGGATGGCTTAATTGGTTGGGCGACCAACTTTGGCTTGGGTCATGATCTTGCAGTTTGTGAGATCAAGACCCACGTCGGACTCTGTGCTGACAGCTCAGAGCCTGGTACCTACTTCGAATTCTATGTCTCCCCCTCTCTCTACCCCTCCCCTGCTTGTGCTCTGTGTCTCTCTATCTCTCCATAATAAATAAACGTTAAAAAAATTAAAAAAAAAAAAAAAAAAGAAGGAGGAACTATTTTATATCCTTCTTTCCTGACCTTGGGTAAGAGATCTCAAATCATCCTATTACTGGTATAAAGACTCAATAAATGCTTGTTAGAAATATGAAGAGGACAGTTCTGTTTGAAGCAGTATAGAGTAGTGGCTAAGAGCTTAGGACTTTGATGGCTTGGGTTTGAAAATGATAACCACTCTAAGGCTTAGTCTTTTTGTCTGTAAACTGAGGAAAAAATCACAGTGCTTACTTTAAAGATTTTTCTGAGGATTCAGTGAGCTAGTACATATAAAGCACTTAATATTGTACCTGGTACTTACAACATTTAGTAAGTGGTAACTGTCATGATTATCAGTATTATTATCTGATGACACATTCTATTTTCTTTGTGGTATCCAGGACATGTTTTCTAGTCTACTCATCACCTCAGATCTCTCCCTGATTGCAGAAGGGTTTTTCTGCTTCTCATTAAAATCATAAGAAAATTGTTTGGGACACCTTGAGGTGACAATTTTACTTTCACCAATTAAGAATAAAAATGATCTTTTTCTGTATAAACCAACATTTAACTAGTGTTTCAGAAACAGTGTGGAACAGCAAAAGCTAATTTTTATATTGACTAGATATTAAGAAAAAGAATACTGACTCAGATGTATTACCAATCACTGGAATTGGGTCCTGCCTACTTTCTATCATTTTTCCTGAATAAGTTCTTTATAGTCCCACAACACTGTTCTCTCAAACAGATTAGACTCATTTTTTTTTTTTTTATCATATCAGCATGTTGAAGGCTTCTGCCAATTTCATCTTGCCATTCTAATCTGCTGGCTTATAATGGTATTCATTGACAATTTTACTACAGTTTTGTAGTTTTATAGTTACTTGAGTATCTCAGATTTGCTGAAAAGTATAGAAATTGAGTAGATTTAAGATGAAAAAAGAGATAACAAGGTAGAGTTCTTACTCTTTCGGTTAAATTGAAGCAGAAATTAAGGACTATTTTTAGTTGTTGACTTCATCTGTGATTTGTACAGTGGCTTAACATGTAGCTATGTCATTATAAAAAACTTTTCTCGTTGTGTTATGTCATCCTAGTTTTGGTGGAAGAAAATGGAAAAGTAGCCCCAAACAATGGGAAGGATCTTTAAATATCAGAAAAGAAGAATTGTTTTTTAATTGATTTTTTTTGAGTGAACATTAGCTACTTTTTGAAACTTGACCTTCAGAGATAGTGCTTTTGCTTTTCTTTTCCTATTCCTTCATTAAACCTGTATGAATGTTAGAATTCAGTGAATTTTATGTTTGAATCCTGTCTTCTTAAGGGGACAATAGTTTTCTGTTTCTCTCGTTACTCAGCCATTGTTATTATGTGATGTATACTTTTCTCTCTTGAAAGTCTCAAGACTTACGGAAAATTTAGTAAGAAAAGAGAAACCAGAAGTTCATTACGTAATTCACTCGTATTTCCAGCATATAAATACCACCATGTAGCAGATAACCTTCTATGTAATTAGAAGTCTCTCAGAATGTTTTCTCCCCTTCTCTGGTTAGTACCCTGGAATCTCAGTATAGTGTATGCCACTGTCAGTCAAGTTGATGAGTCAAGTAGCCATGAGTGAAATAGTTCAAAATTAAGTCAAAGGGTAACCTGGGATCCAGGCAGACAAAAAGGCCCTGCTTCTTCAAGGACTTACACAGCTGAAAGAGAGGAAAGAGCTTGTACCTACAGGTTTCTTCTCATGAGGAAATAGATAAGTCTAGCTGGAACACTGACCTGAGTCATGGGTTGCATCCTAAGGGCTCAAAAGTAAACAAAGTAGTCTACTCAAGTCATCCTGCATCAGATTCTGGCCCATGTCCTCAAGGGAGAACTAAGAGTCAAGCCAGGAACTCTAAATACGAGCACCAGATCTCAGGGAAGAGAAGTGGATTCTTTAATGGGAAAGAGCCAAGAGTCAGGATGCAAGTGAAAGTAATTAGAAAGGGAGCAAGTGGGAAGGGTACAGGCTGATTGCTGCAGTCTCTGTCCCGTACCAGTTCTGTGGTTTTATAGTTACTTGAGTGTCTCAGATTTGCTGAAGGGTATATAAATTAAGAAGATTTAAGGTAAAAAGACAGTGACTGCAAGGGCACAGAGTGAAACATTGGCCTATGAGAAAAGTGACAACAGAGATCGCAGATGGATGTTTTAAGCTTATGCTAAGTTGATTGAGATACATATGAAATTGGCTATTCTTACTTGATGGTAATTTGTACTCTGAAATGTCTTCGTAGTATGGTAGAAACTAGTGGCAAATTTGAACAGATATTCTAAGTAGTCTGTATTCTGTGACAGCTCTGGAAAGGGTACCACAAAAGAAAAAAAAAACAAGGAAATTCTTATGGCTGCAGGGTTTAAGTCTACAGAAGAGAAATTTCTTCCCTTTTGATCCCTTGAAGATGATGCTAGTGAAATCTTCACACAGAAAAGCAACAATAGGGATCCTCCCCAGAGAACATTCTACTTGGGAGACACCTGGGAGATGCCCCGTGTCATCACAGTCCCTCTTTGGTGTGAACAGAAGAGTTCTTAAACATTAGACCTGGTTGTTGTGAAGTATTAAAAAGATAAGGTATGTGAAAGCATCTCATAAGTTGTAAAGTTCCATTTGGATGTTGCTATGTCCTCAGAACCCAGTGCCCATCAAGGCTTTTGCCAGATTTTCAACCCAACCCATTTCTTTCTCTGATTTCCTTATTCCCATTAAGAGCATCTCCTCTTTTAGTCTCTCAGACTAATTCCAACACTTACTGATTGTTTAAGGCCTTTGGCAAATGTCACCTCCTTCATGAAGTCTTTCTTGATTTCTCAGCAAGCAGATGTACTTTTCGTCACTTTGTGTCCCCTTCCCCCCCCCCCATTGCACTGATTCTCAGTTTCTGTTTCTTGTTTTGCTTTTTATATCTGTTTCTGTATTATAACAGAAAAACCTCCCACTGTGCAAAATCATGTACTAAAAATAAACCAGTTGGGGCACCTGAGCGGCTCAGTCAGTTAAGTGTCCCAACACTTGATTTTGGTTCAGATCATGATCTCACAGTTCATGGGATCAAGCCCCACATCAGGCTCTGCACTGCCAGCACAGAACCTGCTTTGGATTCCCTCTCTCCTCTCACTCTGTCCCTCCCCTACTCACACTTTCTCTCTCTCTCTCTCTCTCTCTCTCTCTCTCTCTCTCTCAAAAATAAACTTAAAAAAAATAAAAATAACCAAGTGTTCTGGGAAAATAGGGTTATAAGCAGGTCACTTAAAATCTGCATAACTTGGGGCGCCTGGGTGGCGCAGTCGGTTAAGCGTCCGACTTCAGCCAGGTCGCGATCTCGCTGAGTCCGTGAGTTCGAGCCCAGCGTCGAGCTCTGGGCTGATAGCTCAGAGCCTGGAGCCTGTTCGATTCACAATGTATCCCTCTCTGCCTCCCGTTTCATGCTCTGTCTCTCTCTGTCCCAAAAATAAATAAACGTTGAAAAAAAAAAAAAAAAATTAAAAAAAAAAAAATCTGCATAACTAAAAAAATCTATATAACTTTGTAATCAAAGCCCTAATAAAAACAATAACAATCCTAGTAAAAATATTAGCATGATTAAATCTCCACAGGCATTTGCACCTATAAATACACTCAGCCCATCCTTTGTAGCTTTCCTTATTCCTGGGGTTCATGATTTAGTCTTCACGATGTAAGGTTACAAAAACTTTTGTTTCTCATACAAACTAGTTGAACCAAAATTAAAAATATAATATGAGGATATCTGTCAGTTTGGGGCTGTTGTTTTGTTTGCTTTTTAACTCAGAGAAATATCTTTGCATCCTTTTCATTTGCGCTTGCCCTTTCCCCAGATAGCTTAATACAGTGGAATGTACAGCAGTCTTAAAGCTACAAACCAGCTACTTCTTGCAGAAAACACTTGTGTAGGATTTACATCCTTTTCTTAACATAGTGTCTTTAAAGAGGAAACTTGTCCCTATTCCTTTCTTAATATTAAAACACTCAAAAAACTACCCATAAAGCAATATGCCTTCTTGTTAAACTGACACTATTCCCATATTTTAATGATCTCATAGAGTTAAGGTGCTTTCAAGAAAATGCTCCGTAGCAGAATAGGCTATAAGTGTTTCATTCCCCTCCACCTCCTTGTCTGAACTCACTGAGGACAGAAACTGGGTCTAGCTCATCTCTGTATCCCCTCCAGTGCCTGGCATAGTGCCTTATGCTTAGAGGGAGATCACAAAGTATTTATTGGCCTGGATTAATTTATTCTGCTGCATAATAAATATAAATAGATACTATAGGGAAGTCCCTTAATGTGAGCATCAGCAAAACCTAAATGACTTTGTTGAGCTCCCTTTGCTGTCAGTACCTGCACTCTTAAAATCCTAAGTGTTCCGTTTAAAGATCCCGTGCTCTACATACTTGTATATCTGAAAGCCATGTTGAGACATAGTGTTCATCTGATGCTTCTTGGAGATTAAGCCCAGTCCCCCTACTCATCTCCATGTCACTGGTCAATCACTAACACTAGGCCATACTTGTTCAAGTCACCGGGTCAGTTCCTTTGTGAGCTGTATTGACTGAAATGGTACAAGTAATGTGTGTTCCTTGTTTCAGCAAGGAAACTGCAACCCTTCCTACCTGAGACCACAGATCAACTCATCAAAGGAAAGAAAGGAAGAACCATCCATTGTTCAATTCACTATTATCCTAAAGCAATTACAGTGGGAATTTTTTTCTTATTTGCTTCATATCTTAGGCAAAGGCATTTAATTTTCTGTAGTTGAAACAATGGCTGAACCTAGACCTGTACATTGCCATAGTGGTAATCTTAGTCATAAACTCAGATGCATCACTGCCATTCAATAGTTATTAGATCTAAGATATTACACCTGCCTCAAGTGAAGGGGAGATAAATGTCAGCTCTCTCTTTTTTCAGAATGTAAAGAGGCTCCTGCAGAACCCCAAAGTGACAGAGTTTGACGCTGCCCGCCTAGTGATGCTTTATGCTCTACATTATGAGCGACACAGCAGCAACAGCCTGCCAGGACTAATGATGGACCTCAGGAATAAAGGTGTTTCTGAGAAGTATCGAAAGGTAACCAAATCTGTATGTTAATCCCACCAAATAGGTAGTAACATTCTTAGCTCTGACAGAGGAGAATTACACTGTTTTACTTAATAAAAATGTATAATTCTGTCCTCTCATGTCCTCATTTCCTTAATAAAGGTATTTTCTTATGAAATGGGTCTCCTTATCCCCAAGCAGTAAGAGATAGTTTCTCTTTTTTCTCCTTATAGCTTGTGTCTGCAATAGTTGAATATGGCGGTAAACGGGTCAGAGGAAGTGACCTCTTCAGCCCCAAAGACGCTGTGGCTATTACCAAACAGTTCCTCAAAGGATTGAAGGTATGGCATGTCCTCTGGGCTTTCCTAAAGGAGAAACCGTTGAAGCCCCTACAGCTGAGAGCGAATAAATACAATCTTCAAAGCAACTTCAGGATTGTTGCTGACTTAGTACTGTGTCAATTTAATGAAATTAAAGCAGACATCCTCCTGAAAGCCTTTTCTTCAAATACTTTCTATATTGGAGCAGCATCAGCATTGGACCAAACAGCCAAATAGGGAATAACGAAATATTTCTAGGAAATACCCAAGAGTAAAAAGACAGACAGTTCTGTTAGTCATGGCCATTTTACTCCATTTGTTTATAATTCAAGGTTTGTTTGGTATCTTTTCTTTGAACGAAGTTAAAGATAAAGGAAACAATTGTAGATCTTTTAAGAATACTAAACCATTTTCTTAAGATGGGAACAAATTAGTTTTAATTTGCAAGCCTTTCTTAGGTTTCCTGAAATGTTTCTGTTTTCCTGAGTGTTTCTAGAAAGGAAAACGTGTTTTCCTTTTATTTGCTCCACCTGTCATATAACATTTTCACAAAAGGATGAGATTCACTGAAGAGATGATAAAGAATTTAAGCTATTCCATTTTTAAAATTCTTCTTTAATAGCTAGGTTTAAATTACAGTATTTTTATGAGATTGGAACATTTCTGATTGATGAAAAGAAATTTTTTAATGATTTAACCATAGCATTCTTCTAAAATTCCTATTTGAATCTATCCCATGAAAAACCTATTGAATGCATGTCCTTTTCTGATGAGTATTATTAACTCTTATATTACACATTTCCCAAAAATGATATAAGAACCATCTTTCCCTGTCTTAGGGAGTAGAAAATGTGTATACTCAACATCAACCTTTCCTACATGAGACCCTGGACCATCTCATCAAAGGAAAGCTTAAGGAAAACCTGTACCCTTATCTAGGCCCCAACACACTCAGAGACAGGTAAGACAACCAAGATATTCATAATAAAGACCATAAACACTAAGAAAATAGGAAATGTAGAGTGATGTAAGAGACTACAATTAAGATTATATTGTGCCACTCCTCCTCCCTTGTTGTTTCAGTTCTGAGATTCATTTTGGTTTTATGTGTGTCCAAGTTAGCTATAAATTCACTTGCTAGGCCTGAAACATTATTTCTTTCGGAACAAAGAAACAGGTGTTTTAGAGTACCCCAAATACTTGCATTCTGTCCTTTCATATCAGATGACTTCACTTATGCCATTTAAGGTTCAGTTCCATGGCATTTCACATTTGGACTTTCAAACATTAAAGCCAAAAATAGATTTGCGACTTGATTGCCATCCAGAGCAGGTTGTTACTATTTTGGGGGAGGACTGGACTTTGCCACATGTGGCCAGCATACAAACAGATCTAATTAGCAAAGGCCATTTGTTACATAGAAGAAAAGGATGGCTTGCTTTGGGGGTATTAACTGAAGGAAGCAGTTTTAATCCAGTGGTTTGTTAGTTTTAATAAAAACAAAACTCCAGAACAACTTACTTAGACAACCTGAAATTTGAAATATACACAAAGTCTACGTTGTTAGAAATTATATTCTTGTATATTTTTTCTATTGGAACTTCATGTTATAAAGAGCCTGATATATGTAATGGAACCCTATTGGATAGATTGATGTGAGAATTGTTACTATTGATAGAATTCTTCTGTTATTTTAGCTAATCATAATCTAAGAGTCTTGGAAGAATAGTGTTTTATAAATACAATAAACTTCTGAAAGGAGAAGAATGTTTTGAGATACATAGATAACTCTTTTATATGATAAAATGTATTCTTTTTCCATTTTGTTCCTTTAAAATAAAAACTGTAATTTGGTAACAACAGAAAAAAAATCTTTTTAAAAAAATCCAAGGTTGAGAGGCAGAATATCTGGGCCTAAATTCAAACCGTACATTCATTCAGATAAAATGTTTAAGGACCTTGACATCAAGATGTAGAACTGTCAGCTAAGCGGAAAGAATGAAAACCAGCCTAAAGCTATTCACCTATCTTAGAGGCTTTCTGAAAAACAGTATAACTCTGGTGCCTGGGTGGCTCAGTTGGTTAAGCATCTGACCTTAGACTTCGGCTTGGGCCATGATTTCATGGTTCCTGGGATCGAGCCCTTCGTTGGGCTCTATGCTGACAGTGCAGAGCCTGCTTGAGATTCTGTCTTCCCCTCCCTCCCATGCATGCATGCTCGTTCTTGCTCTGTCTCTTTCTCAAAATAAATAAACATTTTTTATATAAAATTACATTAAAAATAGAATTTAAGATTCTCTCTCTCCCTCTCCCTTCCCCCACTCATGTGTACTCTCACTCTCTCAAAAAAGAAAAACAGTATAACTCTATTAAATAGCTTTCTAATTAATATGATAAAAGTAAAAATACTACTTTTTTAATGAATTTCATATAAGAATTATCAAACAGGAGCGCCTGGGTGCTCAGTCAGTAAAGCCTCTGACCTCATCTCTGGCCATGATCTCATGGTTCATGAATTTGAGCCCTGCATCGGTCTCTGTGCTGACAGCTCAGAGCCTGGAGCTTGCTTCAGATTCTCTGTCTCCCTCTCTCTCTGCCCCTCCCCTGCTCAGGCTCTGTCTCTCTCTCTTTCTCTCAAAAGTAAATAAATGTTTTAAAAAATTAAAAAAGAAAAAGGATTATCAAACAAACAATTAGCTACTTATTGTTAAAGGGACACCATATACCACCAGAACAGTATATTGTGTATGATTAGTTCATAACAGCAAACCTTTCTAATTTGGGTGATTCACTTCCAAACAAAGCTCAGAATGATGTTCTGCCAACAAAATGCACCTTTCTGAGTTGTCAGCCTCTGTTAGCATTTGTCACTATTACCTAAATACAAATACAGTTAATAATTCAATTGCTCCATCCTTTTATGTAACAAATATTTATTGAGTGCCTTCAATATGTCAAAAACTGTTGTAAATGCTGGGGAAATAGAAGTGACAGGAAAGACAAGTTACCTGCCCTTAAGGAACTTACATGCCAGAGACAGTAAACAAATAAAGAATATAATTTGAATGAGACAAGTGCTACGGAAATGAATAGGGTAATAAACTACAAAGTAACTTTGTAGAGGTGAGGAGGGCTGCTTTAGATGGAGAGAACCTCTCTGAGGCAATGATATTTAAGATTAACTTTGAATTATAAGACAGAGCTAATCACAAAATGATTAGGAGAAAAAGCATCCCAAGCAGAGGGAATGTCAGAGCAAAGGCCTCGAAGAGAGAACTTGGCAAGTTGATAGAACAGAATGAAGCCCAGTATGGTTGGAGCAAAGCGAGGAAGGGGGAAAAAAGTGGAAAAAATAAATGGGGGCTACATGACATAGGGTCTTATAGGCCCTGGTTAAGAGGGGTTTTAAATTTTAAGTGTCATAGGGAACTGTTGAAGAGCTTAGCATGTAAGTGACATGAACTGAATTACTTATTAAAGATCACCTTGTATGAGAATGGATTTTTTTTTTCTTTTGAGAACAGATTTTTGAAGGCAAAAATAGAAGCAGGGAGACTACTTAGGAGGCAGTTTTAATAGTCCATGTAAGGAGTGAAAGAGGTTTGGATAGGAGGCTGGGAGAGAGACTCAATGGACTTACTTAATGGAGTAGATTGATGGGACAAGGTAAAAGAGAAGTCAAGAATAACTCTCAGGTTTTGGGGGGAATCAAGTTGTTAAGTTGCAGATGCCAATTAGATAACCAAGATGAAATGTTAGATACCAAATTGGGAGTCAACGGGGTTTTGGTAATATTTAAAGCTACAGGATATAATATATATAAGATCACTTAGGGAGAGAACATAGAAAGAGAAAAGAAGAGAGTCCAGGACTGAGCATTGAGTGGAAGACGTGGAGCCAGAAATGGACACTGAGGAGGAGACAGAAAGGTAGAAGGAAAACCAGGAGAGCTTGGTGTCATAAAGACCAAGAAGTAAGTGGTAACCCAAGTCTAGTCTTCTGAAGAGGTAAAGCTAAAAACAGTGAAGAATCCATCAGATTTGGCAACATGAAGAAGGTCTTTGGGGACCTATTCCCCAGTTTCAGTGAGCTTGGAAACCTAATTAGGGTTACGGGATATAAGGTAAAATAGAGATAACAAATGTATATAACACTTTAAAAAATTTTTTTCATGAAGGTGTCAGAGAAATGTAGATGGTAGCTAGGAGAGAGTGTGGGCTCAAGGGTAAGAGAGCTAGAGCATTCCTAATGAGATTAGAATCTGATAAGAATTATTCTAAAGAGGCACGCCTGGGTGGCTCAGTCAGTGAAGCGGCCGACTTTGGTTCAGGTCATGATCTCATGGTC